GTGTGGGTTCAATTCCAGACCTGAAGGGCAGCTCGGGGCCATAGTCTCAGTGGTTCTACCAGGCTCTATTGGACCAGCAAACCTGGTCCCCACCTTTTTTTTTTTTTTCCCTCCAAATGATTTTGAGTTTTGTTCCACATTGTTCTCCCTCTCTATCTAGGGTCTCCTGCATAGATCCCCTTCCAAGTGGATGACAGTGGTAGCCAGGCACCCTCTAGTTCTTCTGGTCTCATAGTTGTATAGGTTGCAGATCGGATGGTGTACTAGTCGCTAGGACTAATTGTTTCCATTAATTTTGGTTTTCTTCTTTCTTCTTTGCTCTTGATGAGGAGAGACCCATCCTTGCATCTAAATGGCAGCTTGCTAGCTTTTAAGATCCCAGTTGCTACTCACCGAAGTAGGAGGTGAAACAATGTCTAATAACATTTTTAAGACCAGTGTTAACATTGTAAGAAAGCGATTCACAGGTGACTAGGTAACTTGCTTGGTAGTGGAAAAGCTAGGATATAAACCAGGCAGTCTCAAAAGCCTGTACTCATTCACATTGTCAACACCCTTTCCCATGGGTATAGCCTTTCAAATAACTTTTCTGGTGTCGATGGTTTGATAGAAGGGTTGATAAATTGATGATTAAGGTTTTAAACAACAGCTGTCCTGAGATTTGCAATATTTCTTGATTTCATATCAGAAATAAAACAAACAAAAAACCCCTGCAGATTCCAGGCTGTTTCTCCTCCCCTTTACTAGCCAGCATTGTGTTCTTATGTTGTTGTTATGTGCCATTGAGTCATCTCTGACTCATTGTGACCTTATGTGCAACAGAATGAAACACTGCCTGGTCCTGTGCCAGATCCCTGCTATACCTGAGCCCATTGCTGCAGCCACCATGTCAGCCCATCTTGTTAAGGGCCTTCCCTTCTTTTGTTGACCCTCCACTTTACCAAGCATGATATCTTTCTCCAGAGAATAGACCCTTCTGACAACATGACCAAAGTAGGTAAGGCAAAGTCTGGCCATCCTCGCTTCCAAGGAGCATTCTTGCTGTACTTCTTCCAGGGCAGATTTGTTAGTTCTTTAAGTAGTCCACGGTATTTTCAGCATTCTTCGCCAACATCACAACTCAAAAGCATCAACTCTTCTTTGATCTTTCTTATTCATTGTCCAGCTCTCACATGCATATAAGGTGATTGACAATACCATGGCTTGGGTTAGGTGCATCTTTGTCTTCAAGGAGATATCTTTGCTCTTTGGTGCTTGAAAGAGGTCTTTTTGCAGCGGATTTGCCCAATGCAATACATCTTTTGATGTCTTGACTGCTGCTGCTTTTGATGTTGATTGTAGTACCAAGTAATATGAAGTCTTTGACAACTTCAGTCTTTTTTCCATTTATCATGATGCTGCTTATTGGTCCAGTTGTGAGGATTTTTGTTTTCTTTATATTGAGGTGTAATCCATACTGTGGAGTAGTCTTTAATCTTCACCAGTAAATGGTCTAAGTCATCCTCACTTTCAACGAGCAAAGTTGTGTTGTCTTCATATCGCAGGTTGTTAATAAGTCTTCCTTCAATCCTGATGCCACGTTCTTCTTCCATATAGTCCAGCTTCTCGGATTACTTCCTCAGCATACAGATTGAATAAGTATGATGAAAGGATACAACCCTGACACACTCCCCTTCCTGATTTTAAACCATGCAGTTCCTCTTGTTCTGTGCAGACGACAAGCTCCTCGTCTGTACAGGTTTCTCATGAGTACAATTAAATGTTCTGGAATTCCCATTCTTCTCAATGTTATCCATAATTTGTTATGATCCATAAAATCAAATGCCTTTGCTTTTATGCAAAGCCAGCATTAGTTGAATCAAAATGTTAGAATATTTCTGAACACCATTATCCAAGACATAAACACTTTATTTTTTTTTTTGGCAGCAGTGTTCCCTCCCCTCCCCTCCCGTCCCTGGCGACCAACAAAGACAATTTCCCTCCATATATAAACCTTTCCTTGACCCCTCACAACAATGAACTAATACTATATTCTTCCTTATGTGATTGACTTATTTCACTCAGCATAATGTCCTCCAAGTTCATCCATATTATGCGGTGTTTTGCAGACTCTACATTATACTTTAGTGCTGCATAGCATTCCAGTATGTGTATGTACCATAGTTTGGTCATCCACTCTTCCACTGATGGGCATGTAGGTTGTTGCTATCTTTTTGCTATTGTAAATAGTGCAGTGATGAACATGAGCATGCATGTATCTATCTGTTCCTATTCTGGCTTTCACTCTCTAGGATATGTACCTAGTAATGGGATTGCTGGGTCAAATGGTATCTCCAATTCCAACTTTCTAAGGAATTGCTGTATTGCTTTCCACAATGGTTGTATCACTTCACAGTCACACAAGCAGTTTATGAGAGTCCCAGTCTCTCCACATCCCCACCAGCATTTGTTGTTTTCTGTCTCGTTGAATCTTGCCATCAGTGCTGGGGTGAGACGGTATATCTCGTTGTTTAGATTTACATCTCTCTGATGGCCAGTGATTGTGAGCATCTTTTCATGTATTAGCTGACCACCTGAATATCCTCCTTGGTGAAGTGTCTATTCATGTCTTCTGCCCATTTTTCAATTGGATTGTTAATTCCTTTGGTGTTGAGGTGTTGGGAGTTTTCCATCAATCTTGGAGATAAGTCCCTTGTCAGATATGTAATTATCAGCAAATATGAATTTGTTGCTGTCATTTTTGACATGTGCTTTTTCATTGAAACACTTTATTTTTAGAAAACTTTCTCAAATGCTGATTTTCCATTGAAGAGCATCAGACGGTTTTCAGCATTCATTAACAGTGTTGTTGCTAGGTTTCCTTAAGTCAGTTCTGACTCATAGCAACCCTATGTACAACAAAAAGAAACTGCCCAGTACTGTGCCATCCTCACAATCCTTGCTGTGCTTGAGTCCATGGGTGCAGCCATTGTGTCAGTCTATCTCGTTGAGAGTCTGACCCTCTACTATACCAAGCATGATATCTTTTGATATCAGTCCTGACATCATGACCAAAGTATAAGAGACAAAGTCTTGCCATCCTCTTTTCTAAGGAGCATTCCAGCTGTACTTTTTCCAGGATGGGTTTATTCATTCTTCTAGCAGTCTAGTACGTGCAGTATTCTTTGCCAGCACCACAACTCAAATCTATTAGTTTCTTCTACAGTCTTCCTTATTCATTGTCCAGCTCTCACATGCATATGGGGCTGTTGAAAATACCATGGCATGGGTCAGGTGCACCTTCGTCTTCAGAGTGACATTTTTGCCCTTTTTTGAACACTTTAGAGTGGTTTTGCAGCAGATTTGCCCAATGCTGTATGTTTGATTTCTTGACTGTTGCTTCCACAGATGTTTGATGGTGGATCTAAGTAAAATGAAATCCTTGACAACTTCAGTCTTTTCTCCATTTATTGTGATTTTGCTTATTGGTCCGGTTATGAAGATTCTTGTTTTCTCCAATCATGGGGGAAAGAGGGGCTGTTTATGCACAGGAAGACAGTTCAGGGGGTAGGAGTGCATGGAGGGATGGACACAGGGAAGAGGTAACTATCGGGAGGAAGTGGGAGCAGAGCTGTTGCATTGGAGTAAATTGTAGTCAGTGGCATGAGACAGCATGTGTGTGAACTGCTGTATGGAAAGTGAATTTGCTCTGTAAACTTTGACCCAAATCACAATTAAAAAAAAGAAAAAAGATATTTGTTTTCTTGTTGTTAAGTGTAATCCATACTGAAGACTGAAGTCTCTAATCTTTATCAGTAATGATAGAATGTTGTGTTTCAGAATAAAATTATAATAGTAATAGCTTAATTCTGGCTGCTTATTGTAATTACTCTGAGACCCGGCTGTCAGAGTTGCCTTTATCTTGTAAATTGCTGGCCCTGATGTCTCAGAGGATAGGAGACAGCTCCTGCCCAGAAGTGTCACATTGCCCATAGCGCACCGAATGGGGTTCCTGACATAGCGGAATGACACCAGAGAAGCAGGAGATCCCAAGAATTAGGAATATTTAACAAATAGAAGGAATGACTTCCATAGCACCTAGACCTTTCTTCTTCTTTTTTTTTTTTTTTTAATTTTCATTTTGATAATGTTAAAACAAAAATACTACAATACATTTCTTGCAGGAAGAAAGAAACAGAAGCTTGCCAAGGAGAGAGCTGGACTTTCCAAGGTAATAATCTGGTTTTAGTTTAATCTGTTTAGTTTATATTAAACACTTTATAGAAACATTGTAAAATCTTCAAAGTATGCATTTTTGAGAAAGCAAGTTGATATCAGATATTATTTTTCTTTTTTAAAATATGTTCCCTTCCCTAAAACACATCATATAGCTTCCTGTATGTTGCTTCAGAGAGATGCACACAAATACATGTATACTGATTATTTTGTTCCATTTTTGTACAAATGGTGGCACACTTTTCTGTACAAGAAGTGGTTCTTTTTGAAGGAAGTTGGGCAAAGAAAACTTAAATCAGTAAATGTTTTATTTTGTTAGTTTTGAAATAATTGCGTAATCAGTACACTTAATTGAGTGGACATTGTTGTTATTAATGTGCCGTTGAGTCAGACCTGACTTATAGCGACCCCTTCTTGGGTTTCCAAGGCGGTATCACTACGGAAGTAGATTGCCCAGCCTTCCTTCCGACATAGTAATTAAAAAACACTCAAACCAAATCCACTACCATAGAGTTGTTTCCAACTTATAGCAAACTTTTAGGACACAGTAGAACTGCCCCATAGAGTTTCCAAGGTTGTAAATCTTCATGGAAGCAGACCACTACTACATATCTTTCTAGCTGGGGGATTCGAACCACTGACCTTTTAGTTAGCAGCCAGATGCTTTAACCATGGTAATGTTGTTGTTAAGTGCCATCGAGTTGGCCCTGACTCATAGTGCCCCTCCTCGGGTTTCCGAGGCAGTATCACTACAGAAGTAGATTGCCCAACCTCCCTTCTGAGGAATAGCTGATGGGTTTGAACCACCAGCCTTCAGGTTAGCAGTCAAGTGCCTTACGCATTATGCTACCAGAGCTCCTATTGATGTGGAAACTGGGAATGAATCACCTTGTTCTAATGTATCTAAAGTACCTTTCTGAGATGTGTAATATATTCATTATGTTTCCAGTAGCCCTTTCTTTCTTAAAGGAAAATTGATTTGTTACAGAAATATGAGTCAGTGCATTTTTAGTTTCAAGGGTATGATCAAAATCTTGCTGTATGTTGGGAGAGTGAATGAAAAATGCTTCTACTTTGTGAAATTTTTTTTCCATCTATATTGGATAATGAGAGCATATGTACTGTAATTCAGAACCAAAAACTTACAATAGAAACCTAAGTTTTTTAATTAAAATGGATTTTTAAATAGATTTTTAAAAGGCAAGCTATATATAGCTGGTGATATTGTATATTGCCATAATCATTCAGTCTGGCAATATGTAACCATCATAAAACAAAAACACAAATGCAAACATTTAAATAAAGTTTCTTGTAGCTTGTAATAGCAAGAAAAAAATTAGAATTCAAATGCCCAACATACAGGTAATGATTAAACAGTCATACATACTTCAGTGGTATATTTTACTGCCATTTGAAAATGAGTAATTTTTTTAGATGAAAGTAAAATCTATATTAATTAATACTGGATCAGAAAGGTAAACTTACTACAGTTTATAGTGAAATAGTAAAAACAATAATGTAAATAGTAAAGTGTGTCTTTTATGGTGGATATGTTTGTATTCTTCATTTTTCACTTTGGGTTTGATTTAGATCTTGGTGAGAACTGTTTAAATGCCAATTTGATAAATAAGTTTTTTTCCCCCCCTTGGATTCATTTGAATGTAGAATAGTAAATTATTATCCTTGTAGATGTGGTTGAGGGGTAAAAGTGTTTTATCCATCTTTAAAATGAGCTTATTTATTTATCTATCTGCATAACTTTCTGTATGTTAGACATGTTCTCTGGCATACACTTGGTATCACCTACTAAACGTTGTTTCTAATTACTAAATAGTCTATTTCCAAACAGTTACCAGATCTTAAAGATGCTGAAGCTGTTCAGAAATTCTTCCTTGAAGAAATACAGCTTGGTGAAGAGTTACTAGCCCAAGGTAATACTCATTATAGATGAAGGAACTAGATTGTATTCTTCACACTAATGTAAATTTATGATGATAAGGGGCTTTTCTTGTGAAGTTTGGCTGTTTTTTAAAGAAGTTACTATAACATGACAGGTTTCTGACACTCAATAACATGTGGATTATTTTATGTTAAGATTGGTTCTAGAACCACCTATGCTTAGTAGATTATCATTGGCCATAATGTATTTTGAGTGAGTTTTAGGCTTACTTGATTGAGATACCATTTCATAGAGAGGATATAAGTAATTGCTAAAAATGAAGTTACTCTGTAGTTTAGAAAAAATAGCCATTGTGGTAGTATTCTTAGGTGTCCTGTAGTCAGTTTTGACTCATAGAGACCCTATATGACAGAGTAGAGCCTGCTTCATAAGGTTTTCTTGGCTATAAGCCAAGCTGACTGCCAGGTCTTTTCTTTGTGGAGCGGTGGGAAATTTGACCCTTCATCCTTTTGGTTAGCAGCTGAACACTTAATCATTTGTACCATCGGGGCTTCTTACAGCCGTAGTACAATATGTAAATAGTAACTGAGGGAATAAAAAAACCCACTGCCATTGAGTCAATTCTGACTCATAGCAACCCCCATTGGGTTTCTGACATGGCAAATCTTTATGGAAATAAGTTGCCCCATCTTCTGTGGAGCAGCTGGTGGGTTTGAACTGCCAACCTTCTGGTTAGCAGTCAAATGCCTTAGGCACTGGGCCACAAGAACTACTTAACTGAGGCAAATGAGCAGGAATTTCCTCCCTCAACCTCCATCTAATCATAATACTTTCTTGCATATTTATAGGAAGGAATGGCTTTAACATTTATCAGACTTTGACATTTTATATGAAATGTTAGATCTTAGAGGGACTTAAACAACTTCCTTGTAATATAAGTGCTAGAGAAAATTAATTTACCCAATCAAGGTCACGAAATGAGTTTGTGATGGCTGATTTAGAATCAGCCCGATTTTATTTGTGCCTCATTTATTCTATTACCTGTATTAAGACTTTTTAAAATTCCTAGTTTGAAATTAAATTTCTATTATCAAATTAATTGACATATCTGAGAACTGTAATTCGTTCAATAATTTAATATTTATAAATCTTTTTAGTGTAAATTAGCTTTTATGTTATAAGTCTTTTTGAAGTTCTTGCTATTGTTTAAAAAAATAAAAATGATATTGAGTGCTAAGTTGTTTTTCTTCCTTATTGTCATTGCTAGCATTTAGACAGAGTTGAGCCACTCAGTGTGATTTAAGGCATTTGTCTTACTCTTTGCTCCTTTTGTGGGAAGAGTATAAGGTGCTTGTGACTAGCTTTACTGTTTTTCAAAAAATTTTAAACTTACTTTGTTATTTAGAATATACATGGCAAGAAATACAACAATTCACCGATTGTTTCAGTGTAATCTCTGTCACTGAATTGTACAGCTTCTATGTGTATAATTCAGAGTCATTGATTAGATTCTTTGAGTTGTGCAAACATTTGCACCTTCCTTTTTTGAGTTATTCCTTCCATTAACATAAACTCACTACCTCGTAAAGTTCCTGTTTAATCTTGAGTTGCTGTTGTCAATTTGATCCCATATAGCTAGTTCTTAAAACAGTGTAATACTCAGGGTGGATCGTTAAGGCGGTTATGCTGAACTATTGTTTGGTTTGAAGAAGACTTCAGGGGATGTTTTTGGATTAAGGTTTGTGGTAGTTAAGTTTGTGTGTCAATTTGAGTAGGCCTGGTTGAGTGGCTGGGTAGCTGGATGTAGTTATTCCCTGTGGTAAGATTGGTAATTAACTCCATGGTGGAATGTGTTAGAGAAGCTCAGTAGTTGCTTTAGGGATTTGGTCTCTGCTTCCCATACATAAGAAGCAGTTTTGGGAATGGTCTTTAGCTTATGGCACACTTGAACCTGCATGTAGCCATGTTGTTGTTCAGCAGTCTGACATGCTCTGCCGACCTTGGGACTTTCAACGGACTTGAATTAATGGCCTGCCATATGGTTTGGTAACATCGAGACTGCCATTTTATTTATCGACCTTGGGCTTGTTAGTCTTAGCAGCCAGGAGCTGACTAAGTGAAGAGATGCCTCTAACTTCACTGAGCCGGGAGCAAGAGCCCAGGGTCGAGGAACTTTCACACAGCCCCTAGAGCCTGGCACTTTGAACTTGGACTTCCAGTCTCCCAGACTGTAAGAGAATAAACTCCTCTTTGTTAAGGCCATTCTGTTTGTGGTATTTTCCTGTCAGAGCAACACTAGGTAACCAGAACACGTTTAAAGGTTATCTAAGGGCAGTAATTTCAGGGGACAGTTTTACTTTTTATCTTGCCTCTCTTTTCCAAAGAAATAGTTCTTGACACAATTTGTTCAGTTAATTATACCTGAGGAGTTGGTGTGATGGTTATGTTTGTATGTAAACTTGGCTAGGCCTGGTTGAGTGGCTGGGCAGCTGGATGTAGTATTCCCCATGATGAGACTGGTAATCAACTCCATGGTGGAATCTACTGGGAGGAGCTGAGTAGCTGCATTTGAGTATGTGGTCTGCTTCCTGTATATAAGAAGAAGCTTTGAGAATGGTCTCTAGCCCTTGGTACGCTTGGAACCTGCATGTAGCCGTGTTGTTGCTCAGCAGCCTGCTATGCTCTGCCGACCTTGGGACTTACAATGGACTTAAGTTAATGGCCTGCTGTGTGGATTGGTAACATCGGGACTGTGCCTTTTTACTTGTCAACCTTGGGTCTTGTCAGCCTCAGCAGCTTGCAGCTGTCTGAGTGAAGAAATGCCTCTAGCTCCAGTGGGCCAGGAGCAGGAGACAGAGCTGGACCCCAAGATTGAGGGGCTTTCACCCAGCCCCTAGAGCCTGGCACTTTGAACTTGGACTTAAAGCCACCAAATTGTAAGAAAAATCTCCTGTTTGTTAAGGCCATCCCATTTGTAGTCTATATTCTTGTCAGAGCAGCACTAGGTAACCAGACAGTCCAATCTGTCCCTGTACTCAAGTTGCTAACAAACTAGCAAAGATTAAAAGTAGTATATAGGTATGGACTGAAGATATTTTAGGTGATGAGCTGTTCTCATAAAGCCCAGAATGCAGCAGATAGTTTTTTTTAATGTATATAGAATCCTTGATTTGTTTTAGAGTTAGTTAGATCTTTCCATATCATTGATGGTTGACATAGTTTAGAATAAATCTGAATTGGTTTAGTACCTGTGTTACCTATATAAAGAAGTGTTATATTATGAATAAAGTTTAGTAACATGAGCAGGGACCTTAATAACATGAAGCAGTTTTTTAATTGTCCTAAGCTTCAATTTCTTCAGATAATAGTAGTACCTAACTAAAAATGATAGTGAAAATTACGTGAGCCTGTTTATATAAACTAAAGAACAGTGTTCTGGTACCTGGTAGGTATTTGTTAAATGTTAGGAGTTAACTTATTAATAATTATGAGAATAAAAAGAGAACGTGATTAAGCTACTAAATAAATTTAATATCAGTACTTAAAGTACTATTACATAAATGTGATACAGAATGAAGAACTTTCAGTAAGTAAAAAGACCTTATTAAAAACACACCTTACTAGTATCAAAGGACTCTGGTGGTGCAGTGGTTAAAGCATTTGGCTACTAACAAAAAGGTCAGTGGTTTGAACCCACCAGCGGCTCTGCAGAAGGAAGATAAGGCAGTCTGCTTTCATAAAAATTTACAGCCTTGGGAACCCAGTGGGCGTCACTATGCGTTGGAATCACCTTGATAGCAGTGAGTCGGTTTTTTTTTTTTTTTTTTAGTTTACTAGAATGTGGCATCAGGATTGGAGGAAGAACCATTAACAATCTGCAATATGCAGTTGACACAACCTTGCTTGCTGAAAGTGAAGATGACTTAAAGCACTTACTAATAAAGATCAAAGACTGTAGTCTTCCATACGGATTACAATTCAACATGAAAAGAAAATCCTCACAACTGGACTGCTAAAGGAGCCGGGTAACATCTTCTGAGCTCTTCTAACTACACAAGAGGAAGACAGAATCACCATCAGCAGTTTAAGGCCTGTTATGAGGCCAGACTTGCTGCCACCCTTTAACCCTCTTACTAACCTTGTAACCAGCCATTCTTCCTGTGGCACCCACCTCTCTGCTGGGTTCAATAATTCGATGCAGTGACCACACAGAACTCACAGATGATGGAGTGTATTAGGGAAGCAACAGGCTACAATTTAAGTTCAGTAATGTGTTCAGTCTCTCAGCCGGCCGTCTCTCTCAGCAGTGCATCTCTCTCACATCTCTTTCTCAGCATTGCATCTCATGTCTCTCAGCAAGCATGTCTCTCAGCTGACATTCAGAGAGATTCATTCTGCCTCTAGGAGTGCTCCTTTTGAGCCTGGCAGAGTGGCCAAAACCAACCAATCCGAACAGAATTCTGCACACCTAAGAAAGAGTGAACTTCCCAGAATGTTACTTATGCTGTTCCAACAAAAATATACCAGTTGGATAACTTTAACAATCAGCATTGCTCACAGTAAAGTGGGAGTTAAAAGACTATGTCTTGAAAAGCCATACCATGTAATTTACCATACCTCAAGCCACCCCTTGGCTTTTCTAGCCATTGTCCCTTTTATACTTTGAAAATTAACGTCTCCTTCACCATCAGTTTGAAAATAACTACACCCATGAAAGCATGTAAGCCAGCCATTTCATGCCTTTTTCTCCCTCCATTTTAAATAGCCAATTTCTAATTTGCCCATCCCTATCAAACCAGTACTTTGAGGAGACAAGCATGTTCCCTTTCTCTCTGGGGAATCTTTTGTTAATGCTTAGAACTTTGGGCATCTGCATCCATAAATAAGCAAAGTCCAGCTCAGTGTAAGCCATCAAATTGCAGCACCTTAACACCACCTCAGTGTCAAACATCTTCCTCTTCATTTGGTCAGGTTCTGTTCAGCTCAGCCCTGGCCATCCCAATTAGGTCATGGGTTCCAGCTGCCAAGTTT